TTCCCTACTTTGGGCCCTAGTGCAGGGCTGGTGCACTTGCGAATGTTTCATTACATGTGTAGTCTGGGATCTATTGGGGATCTATAATAGCACGGACAACAAAGCCAAAGCCATCTCTTCGGGGTAGTATGATTATCACCAAACCTGTCCGGTAAGATGGAAGCCAAGACTTAGAACAATCATTCTTGAATAGCGTATCCAGTTCCAGATAATATAGAATGATCTTACACATAATTATTAGACGCTTGCCTGCCATAGTGTGCTGTTTGCCGAAAAAAAACTTAGGAATTGGGGATAATGTGGTCATACCAGGAGCTATCGAACTGCCAACGAATGTTGTATCTCCAGCTGGTTCCACGACTAGGAATTCTCCTTCCGGAGTCGAATAGAATAGAGAAGGGGAGGGGGAAAAATCATTTAGGTCATACTGTCACGCTGATGTTTCTTTCTTGTCCCTCCTATGGGTATAGCAACTTGTGGACATTTTTTATTTGTATCTGCCGATCCTTTCTTTTGAGCCAGTGCTTCATACTTCAGCGCCTAAAAGTCAGAATCGAAAGCAACCCTTTTCATCAAAATCGAAAGAGCAGAAAGAAATGAAAAATGGGGGTGGGCGGCAAGCTTCAGATGTCTTCAAACTTGATAAGGACTTCCTTAATCCTCCCTTCATTGCAGGGATCGATAATACCTCGATTCATTCGACCTAGTAATGAAGAGATGTGGACTACAGAAACTTTTCATTTGAGACCAGCGGACCTGGAAACGCCAAGTACCGAACAGACATCAAATACCAACATATCCAGCAGGAAGCCGAAAGGTGATCGTCTATTACATGCAAATTACCTTTATTTTTAGTGATTCAGGACCAAATTTGATGATATTATTTCTGTGACCTTTTCTTTCAAAGCTTTTATGCTTGTTTCCTGTTTTCTGGTTATCCCTTGTTGACCTATATTTATGTTTTCCAATAAACAAAAAGGTAAATAAGCTTGAAATAATGAGAACATTCTTCTCGTTTTTTTCAGCATATAAATTTGCTCCACGAGGACGTCCAGCGTTTTTTGTCGAAGAATTACTGTCAAACAGTGGGATCTCAATTGCCGAGCGACTGGAATGCCACGCGGACAGGACAGGTACGGGTACTTCTGTTGGTATTGATGCGAACTTTCGAAAGTGACCAATTCAGCATCGCCCAAAGTGATACTATCATGGAACGCTGGGCATACCCAGGACAATCTCGACGGATGTCCTGAATGGAATTGTAAATTAACTAACGACAGAAAGGAAATGAGGAACGCGGATGCAGTGAGTGTCTAGTTTCCGAGATTACGCGCCGAATACCCGAAATTACCGCCCAAGGGTATTGAAAATAAACACTAGAGCTTCATAAAAAGGGGCTTGTGTGAAGGGAACTCATGGAAGGTTGCAGACCTAACTTGGGAGGCCCAGCATGGCATGGTCTGTTGATACATACTCGAAAAACAGATGGTCCAGTCAAAGACAGAATTCTATTCTACCCCTTTCATCCCGATGTACCTCATTTTCAAATCCTGACAGAATTCTCATAACAACACCTCATTACAAGTGTAATAGGCCCCAGGTAGAGGCTCTAGATTGTTGGAATGGAGTGTAGTTGTAGAGAACCATGTAAAGGACCATGCCATTTGGAACGAAATGAAGGAAACCCTGTTCTGTTGCAGGTGCTAATGGCTCGCCAGGATCAAAGTTTCAAGCGTAGAAGTGACCAGTACATCGTTTTTTTCAGTCAGGTATTCTCAATTCTTAAATGGATCACCGATTACTTCTTGAAGATATTAATTACTGTGTTTATTGACTATTTTGTTCCAGGAATCACCAGTGAACTATAGGTTTGAAGTGCCATTTCCTGACTATTTCAACATGTCACTAGGATTCCGCCACGATACTCCTACCTCATCCCCTTACGGATACACAGTCAAACTAGCTCCCAGTTCGAGACCTCAAGGCGAGGTGAACATTCACTTATTTTGTCGTGATAAATACCTTGATAAATCTAAAATCTTGAGTGAGTTAATCAGAAGACCTCCTAGGATGGGCCTTGCATTTGGATTCCGTAAGAATTGTAGTGGAACCTTTTGAATGCGTATGTGATTTGTCACAATAGTTAGCTCACAGCGGTCAGCCATGGAAGCCAATGTATAAGACGGTGTAGCATCCTCATAGACGATTTTGATACCGATTTTTGGACGCAGATGGGATAGAAGGCTTGGTCCGTTTAGGCCAATGTCGAACTTATGGAAAATTCCCACACATGCGCGTGATAGTGCCGCTACTTGCCACCACCCTGCCCAAACGAACCTAATTGTGAGTACTGAAAGACTCGCGTTATGTGGATGATAAGTGCTCCAACTGCCATCACAACTCGGTCCCATACCTTCAAGGGTCATCGTAACGATTTCAGTTAACGCTCATACGGGAGGGGCTCTATTCAGCTCGGAGTATAAACTGAATTCATCCAAAGAATTTCACAGCCATTTAATATCTCCTGTACTACCTATTGAAGATCTGATTATCCTAACAATTTCAGTTGGTCAGCATGTCACGGGTGAATGGTAAGACCAAAGGTGCTGCTTGGTTTGTTTCGCATTGTGGCACGAACAGCAAGAGGGAAGTATACGTGCAAGATTTGACGGTATGTAGCTTTCTTGGAAGTACTGAAGGAAGAGATCTTACTTTTTCTCCACTGTCATGTGAATATCAAACTTTAGGCGTTACCTTTTTAAATTCCAAGGTACCGTAAATAAAAGGGGAAAGTAAAAAAGAAACAAAAGGTGGACTGAATTCTCCTCTGTTTCCGGCTTTTCGTGGAAAAAAAAGGCTATTTCGAGAGAATTTTGGGTATCTTGAATGGTCCGTACCGATGTTCTTTACCACTCTGGAAATTTTCCTGTATGGGAATGGGTGAAAAAGGAATCAAATAGGAAAAAATAAACTAGTTGTGTATTGTGATGTGATGTTTAAACAATTTCATGGTAAATATTCAGAAATACTTCCCTGTGGACATTTATGGCCGCTGCGGACGGTTGAACTGTGCTCGTGGTGGAAAATGTGAGAACATGCTAGATAGAGAGTGAGTTCGATTTGGAAATTTCAAAGTAACTCCCCACTGTGGAGACTAGAAGAGCTGATGATTTTCCTCCTCAGAAACCTCCTCTTCTCTACAAAAAGTAGTTTCTTGAGACGAAAATATTCTGAGATCCATTTCCTCTTTGACTCCTTCTTACTCGAGGCCATTTTTCGTTTAGAACGATCTTCCAAATACTTCCGCAAGTGTAGAGAAAAGACGAATTTGTGGCTGATTTGATGCGAAATCAGTCGTATTGTCCAAGAAGTTAACCAGTATATTGTCCTTTAGTTACCATTTCTATGTCGCTTTCGAGAATTCGATCTGTAAGGATTATATCACCGAGAAGCTATGGAATCAGGGTTATCAACGAGATATTGTGCCTTTAGTATTGAAGGTGAGTCGAAAGCTCGCATCGACGTGGTCCTTCCTCCCTCCTCTAAGAATTAGTTGCAGCGATCGTTGGTGGAACCGTTTGTACCACCGAATTCTTTCATAGCCGCTGATGACTTCAATAACACAGAGGAGCTGGCTACCTACCTCCATTACCTCATGAAAAACAAAACTGCCTATGCGTAAGTGGAATTATTCGTTAAATTATTAATAAATAAATAAAAAAGTGTTGTCAATAATAAATAAATAGCCTTTGTGAATGGTAGGCTTTTCAGTGAGTACTTTGCTTGGAGACGTGAATATAAAGTTGTTTTTCTAAATGGAAAATATCATGATGCACTAGAACGCCCGTGGGGATTCTGCCAGGTATCCTTTGGTTTTCATGTTCATTGTTCTGATTAGGTGGAAACTCTGACTTAACGAGTGTTTTTGCAGCTTTGCCGACTTCTATGGGAGAAACCACGACCAGCATTCTCCATCAGTGGTGAGGATTTCTTAGTGGACATGAACAATTTGGCATTATGCCACTCATCGGGCTTTCCCGAGTCACTTCTCAATCGAGTTCCCATTTCAGGAGTCTCTGTAGTGGAAGTCTTTTTTGTTTCTCTTCCAACGTGGAATTTATATTATAGCTACCGACTTGGTTTGGGGCTAGCCTGGGGCGCATAGAAAACATCTTTCTCAGTTTTCCTTACTACTCATTGTGTGAAGGAAAGAATACTTTAACATCAATGAAGACAGGATAGGATAAGCAGGATAAGCCACGAGTTCGTTATCCATCGAAATCATGAGCAGTTTTAGTTGGCCATCCTAGCTACTTGTATTACCAGTCTTTTACCGAACTCTGCATCAAGTCGCCTATAGTCGAACGGATTTGAATTAAGTGGTTGCCCCAAAAGATTCTAGATATCACACCAGTGGTTTAAGCCACTTCGGACAATGGGGTTTGGGCGGCTGCGTGACTTCGAACCCGTACCGTGTTCTTGGAACTTTGTTATTGATTCCTATTATTCATTCCTCCCCCCTTGTCCAAGCGAAGAGCTAGGAATCCACTTGGAAAATTTCGTTTCAGATTTCAAAACCTGGTGGGATCAATCATGCGAACCTGACGGCGCTTTGGTAGATCGTCTAGTGCAGCCTCACTTGTCGACTCCACGGAACAACTCATCGAGGAAGCCTCTCGCTAGGAAGAGCTAGCTGATCATTGTCGGAGGCCTCTCTATTCTAGTTACACGCTTGAGCCTTTGTACGGGTATAGTGCCTGAAATCGAACTCACTTTCACAATCAAGGGATACAGGGACTTCCTTTTCTTATATAATTTATTTTTCTCTATTCAGCTATCACGTTTAGGAAAGTCACATTTCGCTGTTCGGGTTGTTAATGTTGTTTTCTGTGATACATCTAGTCACTTGATCATTTCTTTCGAAGATTTTTAAAATTCCAACAGTTCAATGATTGTTAATAAATGATTTTCAATGAGTTTTGTCTTCCGTTTTTCGCCGTATGTTGTAAAATAGTTCTCCAACTATTGCTTTCGCCAGCTATGCGCAAAATTCATGAGCGTTCCATAGTAGAGCAGACAAAGCATCAGAACTTGCAGTCTTACGCACCGGTAGGCAAAACAATTTATAGAAATAGAAAAAGGTATGGAATGTAAGTCATTTAGAAAGGGGCTGTAAGCGTGGTCTCGGTAGGGTAAGGGATGAAGATCCCGGTACCAGAAGAACACGAGTATACGTTCGAGTTCCGTCCAGGCCGAAGTTGCGCCCACTACTTCCCATCATCGTGGAGTTTCCGGAAAGCCCTAACAACCTTCATTAGAAACTCTGAAAGCTTCGTCTTTGAACCATGCCCATGTCAGAAACGCTTTTCATTGCTTCTGTAGCTAGCCGCATCTTAATGATCAAGAGGGCAGAAAATCTTTGAAAAAGTGGAGATGTAAACCAAACTCCCTAAAAGGCTGAAAGGGTTAGACATTGTTCATAGTTCACCAATGGTCGAAATTCTTTATAGAATCAGTAAGGACCAACGGTCTTTGTCAATCATTTTGCTTTGTTTGTAGGATATACTACACAGTTGCACAGGCTTACAATCGGAAAGGTGGAGTGATCAAAATAGTTCCTTTTACAAGAAATCCTCGTGGTTCAGATTCCTTTTACAGAAAATCCTCAGAGTTAAGTACCTACGACGCAGATAGAGGTGTTAGGTATGCCGCAATCAACGTTATGACAAACAAATATGGCTCAGAAAAGCCTAAAGATCTGGACAGTGGGCAACCATCACATGGTGAGAATTGTTCCTTGGATCGTGCTTGTGATAGCGGAATCGCTTGATGCTACTCTAGCTTCTTCCCAGCTGTCTTAGATCTTCCATAGCTTGCCACGTTGGAGCAAGTTCGACCAAGCTTTTTGATAACTATCAATAGGCCAGTTGAGAGCTCTTCCCATCGTAGGGTAGTGCATTCAACGCCGGGAAGTTTCCAAAGGAGGTTTGTTCACCATTTTCAATTCGAAAACCAGTTCTCTTCTGCGCTTTCAGAGTTTTCTATACACCTGGATAATCTTTGGTTCTGATGATGAGGCGGTTTATACTTCAATGGCTTCTGGTCGCTGGCTTCTTCGCCTGGTTTCTTGTACTTATCCTATTGGAGAGACAGAGTTGGAGCCTCAGGAACAACTACGCGACGGTTATGAACAGAAAACCCGTACGTTGAGTGATTTGGTGAAATTCCTCTAGTTTGAAAAACAATCAAACCTACACTTGAAGCTTATCAATGTCAGGAATCCAACATTCAGGGAATTCCCAGACCAGAGGATGCCGCTTCTCTGGACAATTCTGCAAAAGCATCATTGCCCAAGGAGCAGAAGATCAAAGCGGAGCAGGAACCAGCATCGTCTATGAAGCCATCCTTCGACAAGACAGGAGACAAGCCTAGTACAACGCCAAAATCGTACCTTATCAAGGTCGTGAAAAAGCCGGAATTACTGCTGAGGATAAAGCGATTCCTCATGGACCAGAAGAAAGAAAAGTCTAGGATACTTCCGAGGACGAACCTCGGAAAGACCGAAGAGAAGGGAAAATCAGCACAACCCCTGAAGCCATTCGCGAAGGAGGCAGAAAAGGCGAAATCGGCAGTGATCGTGAATCATAC